AATCCAAACCATTCTATGATTCTATAATATATAACAAGAGTTCTGTTTGGACAGGAAATTGCAAAAATACAGTGAAAGCATGAAAGCCTGCAATGTGTGACTGAAAACTGCAGCTTCCACTCAGATAGAACTGACACCTCTGACAAAAATCATGCCCCATAGGTTCATTAAGACACCTCTGAACCACTGTTCTTTGAAAAACCGCGCAGATTATCATGTTTCATATTTTTTAAGTTGCTTTGTTCTAAGGATCTTGGGGAGGCAGTGATGTGCTACACACTGTATATCCATTTTTGATCAGTTCCCTATCCCAAAACGTTGGTAAATTGTGAATTGTCTCTCAGAATAAGAACACAAGAGAAGCTGTGGGACTGCACAGTGCCTCTGGCCTTTACTGGGCTTTACAAAGCAAAGGGTCCCCCGTGGTTAAGCTCATTGCTGGATCCAGCACAGGTCAGAGCCAGGCAAAGGAAATGAAAGCATCTTTATGCCTGTTCTGCGTAGATGCAGATGTGCTGCTGACTATTTTAATGTCCTAAGAAAACACTTAGGGGGTGACTTGCCTACTGTTGTGCAAGAAACTCTGCGGCGGAGGCTCAATTTAGGGCATTAATTTAATTCTGTCCTTCCTCCCACCATTGATTTAACCACAAACTGTCATGGTTTTTTTCCAGATAACCGACCTTTAATCCTGAATTTTGGAAGTTGCACCTGACCTTCGTTTATGTTAAAATTTGATGAGTTCAACAAGCTCATCAAAGATTTCAGCTCAATAGCAGATTTCCTTATTATCTACATCGAGGAAGCTCACGCAGTAGGTACAGTACAAACATCACAGCAATGCTTACCAAAACTTCAGGCACATCATCATCCCCTTTAGGAAGGAAAGTATGTTAGCAAGGAGGGAACTGCAAATGGGAAAGAAATCTTCCTCAAATCAAAAGTGGCAACACCAAATCTAGGCACCAGTTTGTGTCCCTAATTCTCCAAAGGTTTTACTCACACATCTGACTTTACACCGAGGTACTCCTGCTGACACTCATCTCTGTGAAGGTGAAGCACATAGTTCTATCTTTACAAAACTTTGTCTCAGTGTTAGTACAGCTCCTTTTGGAAGGAGAAAAAAATTAAAAAACAATAGAACAAAGGTTAATTGTGCAATGTACCATGTTGTTTAAAAAAATAATTCATTTTTAACATCTCAAGAACAGGATGCAGACTCTAATTTGAAAAATTGAGCAAACAAACTATACACACTCTTTTATCTACTCTGAACTCTAAGTAACACATTGGCACTGATTTTATCCCAGGGTTGAGGTGGTTTTCTAAAACAAAACACTTACAGTTTTCAAGTTTCCTAACAATACATCACTTCTGGTAGTTGAGACACAAATTAACTAAGTCATCAAAACCTTTTACTAGTTTCTGCTTTACTAGGAAGAGTTGTGTGCAAATGTGTGTTTGCACATTTCTGAAAAAGGAAGGTGTGCCCTGGCTCAAATGTTTCACTTCTCACAGACCTGAGATTTTGTTTGATAGGCTTCATGGGGAGAATCAAGCAGAATGAACAGTACTTTTGTTGCAGCTGTGCTAAATGAATGGCTATCGGCTAGCAGCGCTACTTACCATTTTAAAATCCCCTCAAACAATTTTGACAAACCTTACCCAAATACAATATATGTCCCTAACTCGGTATCTTTCTAGAGTTGATTTATGTGGGGAAAATTTCAGCTAAAATATATCAAATATTTCTAAACCCAGGGCAAGGGGAAAATACAGTTTGCCCAAATTAAAGAAAAAAAAAATAGATCTTGGTACCAATTATTTGAAAAGCTCTACCGCTCTCATACTCTGAGGAGAGGCTTTCATTTCATGGCAAGTTTTGCTGTGAGGAATAAATTGCAGTATTCTTTTATCACAGTTGTGGGATATGAGACACAGTACATCTCCACCCTTAACACCTATTCAAAATGTCCCTTGCTAAATCCCTTTCTCATTTGTTTTAGATGGATGGGCTTTTAAAAACAATATTGTTATTAAAAATCACAGAAGCCTTGAAGATCGAAAAATTGCAGCACAATTTCTTCAGAAAAATAATCCTTTATGTCCAGTGGTTTTAGACACTATGGAAAACCTGAGCAGTTCAAAATACGCTGCATTGCCAGAACGACTGTATCTACTTCAAGGAGGGAAGGTCATCTACAAGGTAAAAAATATCAACAATAATAATGAGCACAATATATTGAGATTCAAAACAATTTGGGAATGCTTTACATTTAACAATCAGAATTTCATTCTGTTTGAGAGCCAAAAATTTCACAATTCACTGCAACTGTGGAGAGAAAAGGACTTGCAGCAAAGCCAGTCTGGGCCTTTATAATGTAATTATTTGACAAACACCTCAGTCTTGCTCAAATATTTATCTTTTGGCTCATTAGGAAACCTAGGTACATCTAAGCTGTGAGATCCAGGAACACTTTCCAGCTCCAGGACCCAGACTTTGGCCCTGTCCCAGTTACACAGCAGGGTGTAACTTGTGCACACACCATCTCCCATGTGATGGCTGCCGTGCAAAGGAAGCCCAAACACACCTGCTCACAGTTCTGGTGCAAGTGCTGTGCTCTAAAGGACTTCTGCTTTGTCTACTTGAGCATCCCTGTATAATTTTATTGCCTTTGCAGGGAGGAGTGGGGCCTTGGAATTATCACCCCCAGGAAATACGTGCCATCCTGGAAAAACTGAAATAGAGAAAGAAAAGAAGAGGACTTCAGAGTAAAGACGATCTGGATAAAAAAGCTCAATGAATAAGTTTTCATAGACCTAAGTGTAAAAGGAAAAAAAAAAAAGAATTTAAAAATAACAATGGAGACAACAAGAATAATAAGAATAATACACATCTAAAGAACATCTGTAATGCGGTTCACGATGTGTTTGTCTAGAGGTTTTCAAGTCTCATTAATACAACCCCAACTACTGCACTGTAGTATCTTGCTACGCTTATGCCACATGCAGTAATGAATAGTAGCTGGGTCTCTTGAGCTGTCAGGACTGGATACCAACGTTTACATTTGGAAGGATTATCGTGCAGGATAAACTTCAGGGGTGGTGACATCTGCAAAAGTTGTCTGGCATGCAAACCAACCGATTTCACATTATTAAGATTCTCTTTCTCTTGTATACAAACATCTTTCCTCAATGTTCACTTTCACTGACTTCAGAAGGCTTCTGAGTAAGACAATCTCTATCGACATTTGTTTCTATTAATATGTTATGACAGTCATGGCATAAAGCACAGACAGCTGTGACCTGATTCTAGAAAATATTTATAGAAACAAGGGATTGATCTTCCATTATTAAAAATCTATCAGAGCTTTTCATATGGCTTCAGATTATTTCCCTCCCCGCCCTGCCCCTCTCCCCCCTCCAGGTTATTTCTAAGCATGAGTAGATGTTTATATTCATCCTATTAATCTTGAACACTTTGAGTTAATGAGAAAGTTACCAATTTAAGAACTTTTTAAGGACTTGTTTGACAGTAGGAAGTAATACCTCCCATTTAAGTATTTCACACTTTTTTTTCTATTTAACTCAAGAGTGCAAGGGAAACATTTTACAAGAAATCAAGTTTTAATTAGTATATTAAGAAAGCTGGATACAAACATACTAGTTTAAATAGACTTGGTTATGTTTAAGTCTTCTAGGGTAACAGTCTAGGTTATAAAACTAGAAAGCTGTTACTACAATTAACAGGAGTACTGCATTACATACATTAAAACAGTGGGGAATACATACTGCATCCATATCTTCAAAAAACACTTTAAGACAAGGTTTTAACAATAAATATTCTCTGTGCTACAGATATCAAAATATAGCTTCTTTATAAAAAAAATTAAGGTACAAATTTAAGCTGGACTTAAGTGTTTTCTGCTGTGCCCTCTGCCATCACCCGGTGCACCGAAACGAAGTGATCAAAGGCAGATTTGATGATGAAACGCAAGTAAGTGGCTTGTAAATCAGGAAGCTGTAGAAGGAAAAAAAAAAAGGTTACTGCATTCTCTGTAGTAACATAACTATCAAACAAGATTTGCAGAAGCTTGTTAGACAGAAGGATCTTGATATTTCTGTATCTGCTTTTGAATTACCCATAAATCAAGCTCTTTAATACATCTAGGCAGCTACAGAGTTTCTTTAGATGACAGTGATTCAAAAAAGCCCTATCCCTCCTGAATACTGCAGCCTTAAAGGCAACAATTGAAGGAGGAAAGGCTGCCACACTTCTGGAAAGAACTCTCACATAGTTAGCAGCAGCAGGCAGGTGCAATTTCATACCATAATCTACAAAGGAGCAGTCGGGAAGTGCAATTTCATACCATGCTCTACAAATGCCTTTACCTAACATCACCTTTGCAATAACTGTAAATAAAGATAGGTTTTGGTTTGTCATGGTTTCTCCCCAGTTAGTCTAGGCATCCCATTTCATGAACTGCGACAGATGTACACTGGAAATACTCACTGGAAATTCTTCCATTTGAAGCTGTCCTTCTGTGTGTCGCAAATCTAGAATATGTATATACAAATAATAAAGAATAATGTTATTGTCCAGAGAAGCATTGAACTCTGGACTTCAGAGTCCAAGAAAGTTTAAGGACCATCAACTTACACTGCATATAGAAATAGTTCTTTTTTTACAAGGTGATTTAAGAGAACAAATACTTTTTGCAATATCCCAGTGTATGTATCCCATTCATTACACTGTTTTATAAAATGTCACCCAAGAGGCATTAAAAAAACCCAACAAACCAACCAAACACTATTATTATACTATGTAAGTGTGGTTTTAATTTTTGGAACATAAAAGCAAATGCACAAGTAGTGCTTTTAGCCCTTACACAGCATTTTACATCTCCAAACTGCTACAGAGACCAGCAGTGTTCATAAACTTCATTTAAATGTGATTATTACATTAATGTCTAATAAAATAATAATCAAGCCACACTTGACTACTCAACAAATAGACACTGGGTTAAAATGACTCACTGAAAAAGATCAACACTACTCCCACAAAATCCCCGCTGCTTCAGATTCAGAATCTTACCTTTTTCAACGCACTGTTCAAAATCTACTGGGTCTTTAGACACACTTCTTTCAATCCTTAAAGTCCGCACTAAAATACATATACATTTAAAATAACAACAGAAATTCCGATTCTTTATTGATCACGATATTTATTCCATCACTGATCATCTACAAAGTACTTTAAAAACATTAACTGATCCATTCTTCCTCTAACTTATGGGGCAGGACTGTAATACAACCACTATCCTCATGTTCCAGGTTGGACAAACAACAAGTTTTCAGGTCTTTTGTGTAGCTTCTGCTAATGGTCATGCTTGTCTTCATGCCCTGACCTCGTACCAGTCCTTTCCGTTTTAGAACTCACATTTTCCTTCACATTATTTAAAAAAAAAGACTAAGAGAGTTCTGTCCTATGAAATTATAGAAATCAATATTCAAAATAAATAATTAAAACAGTGAGTACTGTAGTCCTGTCTACTAAATTAGATCAGACATCACTGTGGGACAGAATAGTTAATTACAAGCTTAATACAAGGTATTAAAAGAACAATGTGCAGGTGGGGTAGCCTTTCCCTCTTTTTCTGATTTATTTATTTAAAAAATTGGACATGGAGGACAGTTGCTTTGTTAAAATGAAGCTTTACAAATTAAATTAAGATTGATATATCTGTGAGAAGTGACTACTCGGAGAAAGTGACACTAGTGTGAGAATTTACACACAGGCACAGACACACATTTTAACAGAGCACATATTACATACTGCAATACATGAAGTCTTACCCAAATAACACTGGATTGCGACTTTGCTGATTTTTACACGTTTAGCAAAACCAATAATGAATTCCTGCGGGAACATGCCTGTCGTCGTCCAAAACGTTTCGGAACTTCTGTGGAGAATAAAAGGACAAAACCCTCACCTGTGGCTTCCCATCTCTAACCAGCTTGAAAAAGACAAATCCCTGTATGACAATGGGGAAGCTGCGGTGTGGAGGTGTTACACTGTCACGTTCGGGCTCCGTACCGAGCAGCGCCCCAGCAATCACGAATGCGGGGCGGGAGGGGCAGAAATTTAGGAAAAAGGGTAAATTATGCGACAACAGGAGCGGGAAGGCAAAGGACAGAGCCTGGCGGTGCCGGCAGCACCGGGAGGGATCTCTGAGGGGAGAGGCCGCGGGAAGCTGCGGTGTGGAGGTGTTACACTGTCACGTTCGGGCTCCGTACCGAGCAGCGCCCCAGCAATCACGAATGCGGGGCGGGAGGGGCAGAAATTTAGGAAAAAGGGTAAATTATGCGACAACAGGAGCGGGAAGGCAAAGGACAGAGCCTGGCGGTGCCGGCAGCACCGGGAGGGATCTCTGAGGGGAGAGGCCGCCCCGGAGGAGCCGCACCTCCCCGGGCC